AAAAAAAAAAAAAAAAAAAAAAAAAAAAAAAAAAAAAAATAAAAAAAAAAAAAAAAAAAAAAAATAACCGTATGGGACTCGTCGATTTATTGTACGGACTCGCCGATTCCGTACAGTGAATCTGCGAGTCACTATACAGAATCGTCCGATTCGATCTAGAACCGGACAATTCCCGTCTTTTTCGTCGATTCGATCGGTCCATGGCGATTCCCGAATTTAACCGAGCAAGTCCGATTCGACTCGACGTTTTTTTAAACACCGCTCCAAAGTGATATGTCAAGGGAGATTTAGGTCCCTACCCTTTTGGTGAGAGACCATTATGCCTTGTTTACTTGTAATAGAAAACAAGCTTATAAAAATAGGTTCTCTTCAACTTTCGTGCAGTATTTTTGTCTTACTTGCCATTAAGAGCACATGTAAAGTTGGCTCTCATGATTTTCGTGTTTCCTTAATATGTTGTTTAGACCGTATTTAGTAGAAATCAAAGAAATGCAAATTTTCAGTTTGGATTGTTTGGAATATTTTTTTTATTGGAAATACAAATCCTTTTTTTCTCTCAAACTTTTGAGATACTTTCTCTATCGAAAGTTTTTTCTAAAAATTTAATACACTCTTTAAAATACTTAAAATTTGAAATAGTTTATATCTCTAAAAATTTTTAGATAGTTTCTCTCTTTCAAAATTTTATATACTTTCTCTCTAAAAGTTTGAGATACTTTCTCTCTTTAAAACTTAAAATTTGAGATAGTTTCTCTCTATGAAAATTGAGATAGTTTCTCTTTTTAAACAATTTCAGGTAGTTTATCTTTTTAAAATATAATATAGTTTCTCTTTCTAAAAAAATAGGTACTTTCCCACTCTAAAATTTGATATAGGTACTTTTTTTAAAATTTTAAGATGTTTTCTTTCTCTAAAACTTAAATTTTAACATAGTTTCTCTTTAAAACTTTCATGTAGTTTTTCTCTCTAAAGTTTTAATATACGAAACTCTCTAAAACTTAAAATTTGAGATATTTTCTCTATCTAAATTTTTTCAAATAGTTTCTCTCTCTAAAAAATTTAGGTATTTTTTCTATCTAAAATTTGATGTAGTTCTTCTTATAATTTTAAGATATTTTCTCGCTCTAAAACTTAAAATTTAAGAAAGTTTTTCTCTCTAAACTTTTCAAGTAGTTTTTTTTTAAAAAAATTTAATATATTCTCTCTCCAAAACTTAAAATTTGAAATAATTTCTCTTTAAATATTTGAAGTACTTTTTTCATCTAAAATTTGACATAGTTTCTCTTTCTTAAGTTTTAAAATATTTTCTCTCTTTAAAACTTAAAACTTGAGATTGTTTCTCTCTCCGATGAAACGGGACCAAACAATCAGGATATGCAAACAAGACCCTAGGCTGCTCATATGTCTCCCGATAAGAAATAAGGTCAATCATAATAGAAAGCAAATCAATCCGGCTTCTCATTTCCCTAAAACGATAACACCTTGAACCACCATCCTCCCTGACCTTTAAACTCTGATCTCTCAAAAATCAGGAAAACAAAAAGCAAGAACAAGTTCATCAAGCAAAAGAACCAATCACTCATAATAGCATTCTCTTCTCATTTTGAAAGAAAGAGAGATCCCTTAATAATATTTTCGAAAAAAAGAGAGAGAGAAATCCCTTACCCATCTCTCTCCTCACCACAAAACTTGAAGAAAGGAACAAAGACCCCAACGACTGGTTTCAGTATTGAAATCCATCTAACGCAAAAACTAGTTGCTTTTCTTCTCCTTGCCCTTGCCCTCACCCTCACCATGAGCATTATATTGCTTCTCATGAAAATTCAAGAAAAGCAGCAAAAGAGAGGCATTGAACACAGCATTGAAGCCCCAAGCCCCAAGTCCCTTGCACCCTTCATCTATCCAAAAATGCATCACCAGCATCACAATGGAGGCACAAAAACTGAACACAAACTGCAGAATCTGAGCCAGGGTCACAGCCCTCTTCCACTTGGGCGCAAACCCAACACTGCACAAGAAATAGTATGAATACATGAATGTGTGCACCAGTCCATTGGTCACAAGTGCCACCACCATGAGAGACTGCACTTGCTCCAACCAGAGATAGCACATAACAACCACCAGGGCATGGTGGTACACGTGCAAGAAGGTGATGGGCCTCTTCTTCAAGACTATAATGAGAGTGTCTGTGAACTCGTAGATTTTGGAGAGGTAAAAGATGTAGGCCCAAAAGAAGACCGGGCCTTGGGGCTTGGTGCTTTGGGGGAAGCAGAAGAGCCAGGCGTGGGAGAGGGAGTGGAGGGAGATGTGGGTACGAGCGGAGAGGGCGGCGGAGAGGGCCAAGAGGAGGGAGAGGGAGGAGAGAGAGAGGTTGTGAATTGGGATGAGGAGAGAGAGGGGTTTGAGGGGGGGTTTGAGTGTGCGCATGAGGAGGTGGAGGAGGGAGGTTAGAGAGAGATAGAGGAGGACTGTGGTGGCCACAAAGAGAGGGGAAGAGCCTGGGGTCTGCTCGGAGCTCCACTCGAATTTCCTCATCGATGGGTGCTCGTAGAGCCACTGAATTAGAGACGCCATTGTTGCTTCTGTGTGTGTGTTGTTCTCAGAGAGAGAGACGAGTATTATTTTTCTTTGGATTTGGTTTGGGTTGCTGGGATGGGGGACTGAAAACGTTTTTTATGCGTTTCCAATTCCAGCGAGAGAGAGAGAGAGAGAGAGAGAACGTTTTTTAGGGCCACAACTGGTGGGTAGATATCGTGTGAAGGATAGAAAAGAAGTAAAAAGGCCTTAGGTTCGAATCCTCTTCCAAAACAATTATTTTTTTTTAATGGGGCAAAAAAATTTACAGAGCTTATGAGTAGAAATTTTAAGAAAGGGGCTCGGTGATAAAAGTGGCACCCCTTTATCTTATCTAGTTATCGTGTTGTACTTTTCAATCCTGCTGCTTCAATGTTGGTGTCATCCTTAATGAATTATAAAAAAAGAAAAAAAAAAAAAAAAAATCGAGAAAAGAATAACGAGAGAAAGCATATGTTTATTCTTGTCAAACAAGAGAAAGTATATGCTACTTTCTTTAATCTTTTGTTGCCGCTGAACCACCAAGATGAAAAGTAGATTTTCAGCCTCAAGGCATATTCGGATTTGTCCCAATTAATATATTCGTTCTCCACAGTAAGTATGAAATTGATCAAATCATACCTATGGTTTGAACTACTACACATTTCAACCGTATACTTTACTCTAATTTCAAATATCACATCATTTATTCAATCAAGTAGCCCAATGACATCATTATGGGTGATAAGGACCAAGTGGCTTTTTTTTGAAAAAAATAACAAGAAAAACCAACAAATTCTCTCTTCTTCTAGAATGGCAACCTCAATTTCCAGCAAGAAAGAAAATAGTATTTTTCATCGATTAACCTTTTGAAATGTGCGTACAACCCCCCTCTATACAGCCATCAAATCTTCTTAAAATTCAATTAGCAACTCTTAAGGAAACTATCTTAATAAATAGCTCTAACCAAATAACAATTAATTGAATTAATTCAAAATAAGAAACTAACTTGACTCCTACCATATAGCCCTTGATGCATATTCAACCTTACCAAAACATGCACCTACCATTTCTTGCCCCCTTGAAATCAACCTTGTCCTCAAAAATGAAAGTCTGGATAAGGATACTTTTTTTTTAGCTGATGCCAAATTTCCCATGTTGCATCAGCAGGGTCCATGTTAGACCATTGCACTAAAACTTCTGCCACAGCTCGATTTCTTCGATTGACTAGCCTGCAGTCCAAGATTGCGATAGGCTCAAGATTGAATGTTCCGTTTTCATCAATCTCAAGCAAGTTGGCGTGCCTAACAACTCGATCCCCTAACTTATTTTTGAGGCAGGATGCATGGAACACTGGGTGTACATGAGACCCATCGGGCAATTGCAACTTGTATGCCACATTCTCAATTCACCGAATGACAAGAAAGAGGCCATAATATCTCAAAGACAGCTTCATGGCATGGCGAACTACCACCGTGGACTGTCGATAAGACTGTAAACGAAGATACTAGGTCTCCAACTTCAAATTCGCATTCCGAACGATGACGATCTGCTTGCTGCTTTGTACAATTTCAAGCCCCTTCCAAATTCTTTTTCAAAAGCCAGAAAATAACCTCTCAAGCTAACAAATATCTATCCACAACATCAACATTAGTAGCTCATGTGACATAAGGTACCACTGCCGGAGCTGGCTGGACATAAACCACCTCATATGGAGACATCCGGGTGGATGTGTGAGTTGTGGTGTTATACCCCCACTTTGTTAACAGCAGCCACTTAGTCCAATGCTTGGGTTTGTCCCTAGAGACATATCGCAAATACGTCTCGAGACAGGGATTAACCACTTCCATCTAGCCGTCAGTCTGCGGATGATACGACGAGCTCATCTGTAGCTGTATCCCTTGTAGCCGAAAGAGTTCTTGTCAAAATCGACTAATAAAGACAGGATCATGGTCACTAATGATGGACCTTGGCATCCCATGTAACTTGAAAATGTTGTCTAGAAAAGCTTGTGCGAGAAATGATTGAAGTTGGTATTGTTCAACCTAGTGCAAGCCCATACGCCTCATGGACCCTACTAGTTTGAAAGAAGGATTAAGGAAACTATTCTAACAAATAACCTTACCAAATAACAACTAACTAATTGAATTAATTCAAAGTAACAAACTAACATGATTCTTACCATTTAGGCCTTAATGCATATTCAACCTTACCAAAACGGGCACCTAACAAGGGTAAAATTTATCAAATCTCAAAATGTTATACAGTTCGACTTTCATGTGTGATTTTATAAATTTTGCCAATATGGAACCAAATAAAAGTCTTTTAGGTTCCAAAGTCCAAAGGCATTTTAAAGCTAATTTTTCAGGAACTAGTGATACTCAAACAAATGAAGAAAAGGGGCAAAAAAAGAAGAAAATACAAAAAACAATAACGGAGGACTCATTCCAAAGTTATGTTCCAACTGAAAAACCCTATACAAACCATGGGATACTTTTAACACGCTTTCGATAACCCATCCAAGAGTTTTCTTCCAATTTTTTATGGGAAAATTGTTGTCCATACCCGCACCTGTTACGATGTGGACTCGACGATCTACGTCGTCCACCAAAATCGGGTTCCCTAAATTATAGTCTTCCAAAGAAATAGTAAAATCAATAGTTCAAATATTTTTTTCAAAAAATATCATTTCTAGTTTTTAAAATTTATTTATTTTTATCAATTAGTAATCTCCATGTTAAAGATCACATATTCCCTAAAAATTAGGATCACATTCTATTTGAAAAATAAATTATTACGGGGCGCCTACATTTCGACATGCGAGTCCACGGACTCATAGAAACTGTGTCATTTTTTGTGCATCTTTTCAAGTTTTCAAGGGTGTGGTTTGCACGAGGTTGTAACCTTAAATAATCCAATTAAAGCACATCTCTAAATTTTATCATAAATGTAATTTTAATATAAAAAATATTTAGGATGGCTTGAGAATCTATTTTCATATCTAATTATAAAATTTTAAACTCTAAAAATGGTTCAAATCAAGTAGATCTATAAACACATAAATATCATGAAAATGGATAATCCAGCTAATGTGTTGCAAGATACACAATTTCATAGACTCAAAATCTTTTTTTTTTGCCTTTTCATATTCATACATTTCGATATCGAGATGATGTATTAGAAGGTTTTACAACATCGAAATTTCATAATGGATTTTTGAGGTGCACCTTTAATGCGGCAACCTTATATAAACTTTTTCATTCTTTCAATGAAATTTTATTAAAGTCACTTGAGGAAAACTCCACTCCCTTCACCGCCCAGTTTGTTGTTTAATTCTAATTGTTGTTTTCCGAAAGTTTAGGTGGTGGTTTATAGGTTGGAAAAGATTCGCCCTCATGCTTCGCTGTTATATTTATTTTAGTTTGTCTTTCAACTTGTTTGTTGTCCTATGTTGAAATGTATTTATGTTGTGTCCCTTTTGTCAATCTCTTTACGTCTTTCAGTTGCACACACCAATCGTAGTTTAGATGCTACTCAGTTCTTTGCTTTGGTTGGGATTTTGGTCCGACTGACTTACTCAATTCGGGTTCTTTGCTTTGACGTAAGGCCACGGTTTCTATGAGTCTCTAGAAATAAGTCACCTCTTAAAATTTTATTTTTAAGATGGATTCTTAACCTAATTTTTAAAGATATGTAATCTCTAATATGAAGGTCGTGAATAAGAACAAATAAATAAATTTTAAAAATTACAAGTCATATATATATATATATATATGACCAATGATCTAATACGACTGTTGTATCATAGTATAATGCAACGACACATCTAGAAAACCATGCTTGTGATATTTGTATGACCCCAAATTCTACACGCACACTCTCTTCATCTCAATAATCAATCCCAAAAAGAAAAAAAGGTTCAATTTGGACCCTATATATTGTCAAAATGAGTCCCCTCTAAACATGAATCTAAACCATTCATTTTTTGAATTTCAAGATCTTAGCCTTTATAAACTCAAAATCAATTTTTTCTTTTTTAACATTGTTCATCTAATGATAATAAAGCCATCCAAAAAAGTTGAAAATGAAAAAAATCCTTCAAAGCCTAGATCTAAAGATCTCACCAAAATGAACGGCCTATGTTAACTGGGCAAAAAAAAAGTACTTTATAAGTACAACTGTTGCATGAAATCATTAACATATATATATAAGTAATGATCATATAGGATCCTCCCCCACCCTTGTGTGTAGGACCCCAAAGGATCACCATTAAAGTTGGCACAGATTTCTAAAAAAGTTATCACATGGGTGTGGGACTTAAATTTTCTATAGATCTATATCAAATTTAATGGTGATCCTTTGGGGTCCTACACACATGGGCGGGGGAGGGTCCTATAGGATCATTTCTCTATATATATATATGGGCAATGATTTCATGCAATTGTTGTATAGTAATATGATGCAACAACATTAAAAAATCATCTTATGGCAATTGGTTTGATCCAAAATTTGAAATGTACACTCTTGTTATTTTAATGAACAATAAAAAAAATAAAAAATTGAAAACACAACTTAGAAAATATTTTTTTAGCCCAATTAATATACGCCGTTCATTTTGATGAGATGCTTAGATCTAGGCCTAAGAAGGATTTTTTCATTTCCAATTTTTTTGGTTAGCTTTATTATCATTAGATGAATAATGTTAAAAAATAAAAAAAATGATTTTGAGTTTATAAAGGCTAAGATATTAAAATTCACAAAATGAATCGTCTAGATTCGTTTTTGGAGGGGAATCATTTTGACCATATTTAGGGTTCAAATTGAACTTTTATTTTTTCGAGGATTGATTATTGAGATGAAGAGAGTGTGTATGCAAAATTTGAGGTCATACAAATACCACAAACATGGTTTTTTAGAAGTTTTGTTGCATTATACTATGATACAACCGTTGTATTGGATCATTGATATATATAAAAATATAAAAAAAATAATTCGAAAAATTGATCAAAATACCCCTAAATGTTTTGGGGGTATTTTGGTTATTTTTTTCATGTAAAATATTTT